GTTCAGCCCTGGCACCCAGCAGGACTGCTCGGAGTACCTCAAGTACCTGCTGGATAGGTAAGGGAGGCCAGGCCCTGGGGCACGCCCCACCCCTTCACGCCGTCTTGCCCCCTGACTTGAAATGGGGGTGCTGCAGTGCACTCGTGGGAGGTTCGGAGAAGTGTGCTGTGAGTGTGCGGGCTGAGTGTGAGGGAAGCTTGGGAGATGCTGCCCTGCACCATGACCCGGGAGTGGTAGGGGTGTGTGTACAACACTGCGCTTACCCGAGTGCGTGTGTGTATTTTTGTCACAGGTCTGGGGGCACCTGCACGTAGATACATATGTAGCAGGTTCGTGTGCCTGTATGCAGTAAACGTGTAACGTGTGTGCCTGGCTTGTGAGTGCATGGATGCTATTTTGCACATGTACGTGTATTCCCTGTGCAGACTCCCGCATGTGTATGTGTCTGATTGTGCGGCCAGCTGAGTGAGGTCGACGGCATGAGTCCGGCCAGTGTGCTGGGGATGCACCTGTGTGTGTACGAAGCCTCCCTGCTCCCTGCTCCAGGCTGCATGAGGAGGAGAAAACGGGGACCAGGATCTGCCAGAAGCTCAAGCAGTCCAGCTCGCCATCCCCGCCTGAGGAGCCCCCGGGCCCCAGTGTGACCTCTGTGGAGAAGATGTTCGGGGGCAAGATCGTGACTCGGATTCGCTGTCTCCGCTGCCTCAACGTCTCCTCCAGGGAGGAGGCCTTCACGGACCTCTCGCTGGCCTTTCCCCCACCTGGGCGCTGTCGCTGCCGCCGCCTGGGCTCAGTGATGCTCCCTGCCGAGGGTGTCAGAGCCCCAGAGCCTGCCCTGCCATCCCCGGCCCAGGTCCACAGCAGGGCGGGTCCTCAGAGGCAGAGGAAACACTGCATCACCGTGGGTGTGCCCCCAGCGGTCCTAGACGTCCAGGGCCTGGGCCCCCGGGGACCTGGGGGGCAGGGCGGGCAAGAGGAGGAGGTGGAGAAAGAGGAGGAAGAGGAGGAGGAGAGAGGAAAGGAGGAAGAAGACAGGACCAGAGAGAAGGAGGAAGACAGGACCAGAGAGGAGGAGGAAGAGAAGGAGAAAGAAGTAGAGGAGGAGAAGAAGGTGAAGGAAGAGGAGGACAAGGCCAAAGAGAAGGAGGACAGCCTGGGCCCAGGGACCCTCAGGGCTGTCCCCTCTGGGGAGGGCTCCCGCTCTGTCCTGGACCTGGTCAACTACTTCCTGTCCCCCGAGAGGCTGACGGCAGAGAACCGCTACCACTGCGAGTCCTGCGCCTCGCTGCAGGAGGCCGAGAGGGCGGTGGAGCTGAGCCAGGGCCCGCGCTACCTCATCCTGACTCTGCTGCGCTTCTCCTTCGACCTGCGCACCATGCGGCGCCGCAAGATCCTGGACGACGTCGCCATCCCCCTGCTGCTCCGCCTGCCGCTGGCGGGGGGCCGGACCCAGGCCTACGACCTGTGCAGTGTTGTGGTACACTCTGGAGTGTCCTCGGAGAGCGGTCACTACTACTGCTATGCCCGAGAGGGCACTGCCCGCCCGGCCCCTTCCCTGGGAGTGGCCGACAGGCCCGAGCCTGAGCACCAGTGGTACCTGTTCAACGACACCCGGGTGTCCTTCTCCTCCTTCGAGTCTGTCAGCAACGTCACTTCCTTTTTCCCCAAGGACACGGCCTATGTGCTCTTTTACCAGCAGCGGCTTGGGGAGGGACCCGAGGCTGAGCTGGCCTCTCCGAGAGTCCGGACAGAGCCCACCCTCCACAAAGACCTGATGGAAGCCATTTCCAAAGACAACATCCTTTTCCTGCAGGTGAGCGGGCCTGTCGGGACCGCTGGGCTGAGCTCCTGGGTGAGGGGCTTCCCAATACCACCCCGGCTCAGAGGAGCTGTTGCTCCTCTCGGAGACTCTTCCTTTTTCCTTTGGTCCATTCATTTACCGCTTAGTGCTGGGGTACGTTGGTGGACCAGATATGGCCCCTTATTTCAGAGCATCAGACGCTGAGTAAGCACCAGTTTTCGTGTGTGCTGAAGGAGCAGCGTGGGGTTCAGCGGGTGCCTCTGGGGCATCCCGGGGACCTCTCTACCCAGTCAGCCTCCTCTGTCACTGCACCGGTGACTAGAGTCCAACTCGTTCTTACCGGTGCCACATGGGCCTCACGATTGCCTCGAAGGGCTGAATGTAACTTTAGGACTGTATAAATGTAACTGCTCCTTCACAGTTAACCGAGAGCTTGGCACTGCCACCGGGTTGAAGCAAGGTGCCAGGCTGGATAAAAGAAGGCGGAGGGCTGGATTTGGCCTGTGGGCCTTGTGTTTGCCACCTGTGCTCTAGTCTTGAGTGTTAAGAATGGTGTCAAAATACTTAGCAACTGGAATAGCAAGGGCTCTGACCAGTGAGAGGGGCAGCGGCCACCAACAGCTGCAGTGGCCACGCCAGGACCTCTGAACAGCAGCACCTGGAGTCAGTGGTCACGTGGGAAAGGCAGCACTGGTGGGGGTGGGGTAGGTCCCTGGGTCTGGTGCCAGGAAGCCCTTGGGAAGGTCTCTGTGTGGTGGGACTGACCCTTGAAGTCCCTGGACCTCCTGCTTCCTGGGGTTACATCAAGCCCTCATTGGTTAGCAGTCTAGTGTGAATGAGTTCCTCTCTTCCGAAGGGCTGGGTTTTTGCTGAAAGAAGGAAGAATGATTTTGAAGCCCAGACACTAGGGTGGAAGGACTGCTCGGTCCAGCCTGTCTTCCCACTGAGCTGGAACGCCTCCAGGGCAGAAGCAGAAGCTGCGGCTCCGCTGGGCCTGGCCCTGGGGAACAGGACACTCAGCAGTGCATCACTGGATGACGTTGGGGGAGGGAGTGGGGGGAGGACTCTCGCTTCAGAGCTTGCATTTTAAGCTCCCTCCCCACCTCCCCTTGTGTTCCAGGAGCAGGAGAAGGAGGCTCGGAGCAGGGTGGCCTACATCTCTGCGCTCCCCGCGTCTCCGCACTGGGGGAGAGGCTTTGACGAGGACAAGGATGAGGATGAAGGCTCTCCAGGGGGCTGCAATGCTGCCGGCGGCAATGGCGGAGACTTCCACAGACTGGTCTTCTAATGTGAACCCTTCCCTGTAGGAACAGGACCTGCGGGCGTGCCACAGCCAGCCTCAGGGGAGGCCTTGACCCCGGTCTTCTGGGAGCCAGGTGGGGGCCCAGGTCCCAGGCAGAGGAGCTCTGCCAGGCGGGGTTTGAGGGAGGCTGTGGAGGCAGGTGCCTACCTGAAGGCAGGTCCTTCTGAGGGCAAGAGAGGTGGAGGGGGGGGCTTCCGGGGCACTGGTCCTCAGCCTGAAGGATACACAGAGACCCAGATGTGGCAGTGAGGGCCAACGCCTTACCCTTGGCCTCAGGCCCAGACACTGGGTACGACCCCGTTAGGATTTTACCAAGTGTCCTGGTCAACTCAAAGCACCTTAGATGGACACTGTAGCTTGTCCCCTGCAGACTGCCAACAGGGCTGAACGTCACAGCTCTTGAGTTTCGCCATCAAGAGCATTGCCCTTCCACTCCTTTTAGACAATCCTGTTGCTCTACCGTGTGAAAAAGCAGAGCGGGAGCCATGCCCTTGCACCGAGAGAGGGGCTTCCGAGGTAACGCAGTGCCTGCCCATCTGTCCCTTTCCTGAGAGGCACGCAGGTGCCTCAGACTGTCTGCTCCTGACACGCAGCAATGCGTAAGGGTGGGGACAGCCCTCTCACAGCGGGAGACCCTTCGCCCTGCTAGCCTGCCTCAGTGCCTGAGATGCCACAATGTGCATCCTCCGTCTAGTTGAGATGGAGAAGCCTTACTCTCCTGCAGACATGTCTGCTTCTCATGGAGCCAGTCTGGCCCGAGGAAAGCTGCCAGCTCAGGTCCATCTGCCAGCCAGGACGGCAGCTGCCTGGGGGCTGGTGGAGGGGGGTTGGTGCAGAGGAGATGCTGCCCTCACGCCGCTATTCCCCTTCTGAATGTAGCAAAGAGGCCCAGAGTCTCAAACGGGAATAAAAATAGGTTCTCCGAAGCCTCTGAAGCTGTTGTTCTTCCCACCCAGTGGCTGTGCTGTCTGCTGCACCCTGGTGTGCGCAGGCAGGAAGGGAGGTGTGCCCCCTGCTCCGCTGACTCGTGCAATGCACATGCCATGGGAGGTGAGAGCACCCGCTCCTACGGTGCTCTGTGAAGCAACGGTGAGGCCTGGGAGGTCGCACAGGGCAGAATCAGAACCAGAGGGGGTACATTTCCCAGAGGCAGGTGCTGGCAGAGAGAAGAAAGAACGCTGTCCTTGTCCTGAGAAGCAGAGAGCCCTTTGCCTTCACAGGGGTGGGTGGGGTGTTGTCAGGGGACTCGCCTGTCAGGAGGGGCTGGGCCCAGTAGCTGGGGATTGTTCGGGCCCCAGGGACTCTGGCCTGACCCTAAGTAGCTACTGCTGCTGCCACGTCTCTCCCTCCTTTCCGCTGAGAACCGAGGGTGGGTGGCCTCTCCTGGGCTGCAGGTGGGAACAGGCCGGGGGAGGGCTGGAGGGACCCCCTTGCCACCAACACTGCCCGTCTGCTTGAGAGAGAGGAGGTGGAAAGTCAGGGACAGACTCGGTGGCCAGGGCTTGGCTTCAGAGGCCGCCTGCCTGTGTTGTGGGTGGAGTTAAGTTTAGGCCCAAATGTCATGGACCCTCAAATACTAGATCCCAGGCTCCAGCAAAAGTGGGCCGATAGCCTGTCAGCCACCAAGTCACACTCAGGTTCATTTTTCAGTGCCAGCCCAGGGCGCCTGCTAAGAAAGGTGCACTGGCAGGTGTTACTACAGTTTCCATTTCACACATCGGGGTACAGAGTCTGAGGTGAGGAGGGTCCATTCTTGTTTCCAGCCGAGGAGAGCACCCAGGTATTTTCTATCAAAATGAGTGTGGAGCTGACCAGCAGAGACACAATGTCCTCATCAGGAATGCGTCCCCCAGACAGACTCCGTCCCCCAGACAGACTCCGCAGCGGCCACTGAGGTCGTGTCTAACGGACTTTATTGTTGTCCTGCTCCAATGCCACTGTGAAGAGGGGCCTGTCGGTGCCCGGCCACGCCGCGCGTCACCCCAGCACCAACAGGACCCCTGTGAGCGCGTGCCCACCCGCCCCAGACCTACCCACAGGATAAATACGTGTTACAAATTTTTAAAAAGAAAATAATAAATTAATAACTTAAATGATTAGGCACCAACAGTGATTTGAAAAATTAAATGTCAATTTTAAATGGTGGTAACAGGGCAAGAACCCAACACTGAACTTCTCCTGGCCCATTTCCTGTTTCCTGACCAATAGCAGTAACTTCGTGTAAATGATACTAATTTTCAAGACACAGGTAACCAACACACACACAAGAACACACACCACCAACTATCACATGACAGCCAGCATCTCCAGCGGGACGCACATTCCTCCCTCGGGTGGCCTCTCTGGCCCCAGGCCCCAAGGGCTCATCGTCCCAGCACCACGGCCCCGAGGGAGGGGCTGTAGCGCTCACGGGGCAGCCTTGTCCCCCCCATGTTGCAGACGAGGACGGAGGGGCCACTCCCTCCTGTGCTACACTTGGCTTCCGGAGCCCTGTTACTCACAGGGTGTAGGTCAGGGGTGGGCTGGTTGTCCACGAGTGGCCTGAGGCCTTAGCCCCGTGGCAGGTTGAGTTGAGCCCCTGCTCCCGTCACTTCGGAGTGGTTGTGCTCCTGCCCTATGAACGGGGCAGAGGTGAACGGTTTAAATGTGGAGGTTACCAAACTTAATCCGGGGAGGGGACCAGGTTCACTGGCTGCCCACCCCTGGTGATCCAGACGCTGAAGAGAGGTCACAGAGCAGGGACTTCTCCCTTAAAACAGTGGAGCCGCGCCACATGGGGGGGGCCTCAGACACTCCCCACCTGTCTACCTGCTCCGGTCACAGGCGGGCACACCGAGGTGCGCAGGAGCCCGTCTCCCTGCAGCGCTCGCTCCTCCTCTCGCTGCCCCTGCTCTGCTCTCTGAGCCTTGCAGACGTGGGGCTGGGTGTGGGCAAGGATGGCTGCTGCCGGGGGGAGCCCCGGGCAGGATGAGCCCTGGGCTAATTGCTGGGCAAGCGTCCCCAGTCTTGCCGGGCCGCCGGGAAAGGTGGACTTTGCCGCACTGACAGGCCAAGGGTCAGTTTTTAAAACTGACAGGTATGAACTACACACTGGGCTGGGGCTGTGAGCCAGTGCCCTCCTGACGTGTGCTTCCTCCTGTCTCTGTCTCGGCCCCTGCCTCTGCCCTAAGAGTCTGGGAGTTCCAGGAACCAAGAAGTGGAGGGAGGTCTCCTTGCAGGTTAGATCTGAACACAGTCGCTGAAGACTCCAACCACTTTAATCCACACCAGGGCACATTCAGAAAATGCTGACACGCGGGCACCCAGTGGTCAGCAAAGGAGGCTGTTGGGGCCGGGACCGAGGGCATCAACACCTGGGCCCATCAGTGACCTGCTGGGGGCTCAGAGGTGGCCGCTGAAAGCTCTGCCACATGAGACTCTGCATGGGGAATCCTTAAAGGGACACAGGGCTGGGCAGAGTAAACTGGCAAGCCCTGCCCGCTGTGGGCCACTACCACTGTTACCATTTCACCTGTGGGAACACGGAGGCCTGGGCCCACACTCCCCAAGGTCTTCCGTTCCCCAAACTTTCCAAGTCTCTCCTCCCTTCTTCCTCCACTGGACCCAGCGCTGCTATCCTTCCCTGAAAAATCTGGCTCATTTTCTTCTAAGACCCATCTCAGGTACCTCCTTTCCCCGGAAGCCCCCTTCTCGGACCCCCGCCCCCTCCCACACCTGCCCTGGCACCTGCAGAAGCAGCCTCGCTTCCTCTGCTCAAGCTCCAGGTACCTCAGAAAGGTTGTGCTCCTGACCTAGAGATGGGGACATCAGCATTTTAAGTCTTTCCCCTGGCCATTACCAACGCCTCGTGTCCTTGTCTGTTTTCTTCCCTGTGACCTTCTCAAGTGCAGGGTTAGTCTGATTGAGTCCTGTGTCCCAGTGCCTAGTCCAGAGCCTGGCCACACCAGCCACTAGTAACTGCTGGTTGAGCTGCTTTGACCTGATACTACGAGGAGGGGCTACTGCTGAGAAAACACTTTTTCCCAGGATGGTGCTTCCCAGGGAATGAATGGTCAGGCCACTGGGCTGGCGAGGGGTGTGCACACCCACAGAAACCAAAGGGGAGCGGTGGCCACACCACTCATTATCGTGGGGAGTGTTTTCTGTTTTGTTTTTTTAAGAGGACAGTCTACTCCACAGCATAGGGTGAAACATTTGGTCTTCCCAGTTCTCTCTGAAGCTCTACAAAATTTGGCCAAGAACTTTCAACATTAAACAATTCAGGTACTCCCCCTCCCCCACACCTGAAGCTGGGGAGGAGCAGGGGTAAAGCCCTACTTCCTGTCCCTGGCAGGGGTGGGCACTGATCTGATGGCCTGTCCCGTCCGAAGCCAGGTGAGACCCCAAACTGGCACGTGGATGCGGGGTTCACCAGAGGGGAGCGGAAACACTGGCCAGGCACTGGGCCGCACCTGGGTCTGCCCTGAGCCTGGGCACCGCCCCGGCCCCACTGCACCAGCTGTCAGCATCCCCGCGTGTCTCCTCCGGGCTGTCCTGCCCTGCTCGCTCCCTGCACTGCTCTCCCTGTTGTCCATCAGGCCTGGGAACTGCCCTTGTCTTGCCACCATGCATCTCGCTCCCAACATGACACAGCACCCCTCCCAGTTCTGCTCCACCCTGCACGCCCCGCTCCCGCACTGCCTCCACCAGGCCCATAGGGTGTATCCCCACTCGCCACGCTGGCCCCATGGCCTCAACCCCTGCCTCTCACCCATCTGATACCTGCGCCTCCCGCTGCTGCACCGCCCTGTGCCTCTGCCCAGCCCGCTCCTGCCCCACGGTCGCCCTCTCCCACATCCTGCATCACCTCCTGTGCCCTCATGCTCCCTCCACCCCGCACCCCGCATTGCTTCCTCAGCCCCACCGGCCTCCGGGCCCAGCCTTGTCTGAGCCTTCTCCAACCATCCCCGTAGGTGGTGGGAACTCAGAGTCTTGGGGAAGCAGCAGAGTGGGCCTGTGGCTCCACGGTCCGGGCCGACTCCGCAGTGCCCTTCTCTCCCATCTCCTGGGCTCCGAGCCCTCTCCTGGTTCTCGGTTCCTCATCCTTCGCGTTCCTGTCCTTTCGTCCTCACCCTTCTGCCTCTCCCACCCTGCAACAGCGGCGCTGCCACTTGGCTGAAAGGGGGGGACCACTGCAGGTGCCAGCTACCTTCTGCACCTGGGGATGTAATTATTTTGTCCCTCAAGACCACCTCTAACCTTCCTTCTTGACTCCATTGGTGGCCTTGCCTCTCCTGGGCTGAGACAGACAGGGACGAAGGCCATGCCCACTGCTGGTCCTTATCTTCCTGGTCAGTGAGACTGCGGGCTTCTTGCGGGACTGAAGGAGGCAGCCCCGGGGCTCTGGGCTGTGACCGAGCGAGGCATGGAATCTGGCTCGGAGCCCCAGCCTTCCCTCCATACGTCTATGGATAGACTCAGCTCTAAAGGGCTAGAAGAGGCTGAAGGGTGATTTTTGGCAATAGCTCTAAGGTGAATAGAGGCATGGCCATTACTAATAAAAATCAAAGGTGGGCCCCCAGTGGGCAGAGGAAGTGCCTGGATCAGGCCCTCGCCTCCCAGGGAAAGGGTTCAGGGTCCCTGATGTCAAGTGTGTTGAAGGCCAGAGTGGCAGAGTGGGGGTGGGGTGGGAGGGGAGACAGGGAGGAGCCAGCTCTGGTGCCGCAGGCTCCTCTCCAGGCTCGGTGGCTTGGTCACAGCTTGGCACCCTTGGAAGGTTCCGAGGACTGCCGCACGTCCGTCCACTCCTGCATGGTGCTCTGCAGGGCCTGGGTCTTCTCCTTGTCCACCTGAACGTAGTCCACCTTCTCGTCGGAAGTGACGGATGACGTGGATGGCTGAGGGACAGAGCGGGGGAGCAGAAGCTGCTGTGAGTCAGCACGAGGTGGGGTGCTGCTGGGTGAGCTCTTCCTGAGGTGTCCACAGGGCCGAGGGGCGGGCCTCTGCCTGCCGCTTTGACTGGCCTTAGGGATCTGTCTGCTTTTTCTGAAAGTGGCTTTGGAGCCTCAAGTCCACACTGCATGAGCCCCCTATTTGCTACAATAGCTCCTCCAGGAGAAGGAAGTGGCTGGGTGCCAACAAGCACCAGCCACTGAGCTGTGTGTGTGTAACCCCCAGAGAGTGCTCTAGGCCACCCGAGGGGCACCTGTGCGGAGGCAGAACACGTGCCCTGCTGCCCGGACTGGACAGTGATGCGTATTTCCTGTGGAGAGCTTTTGTAGGCCTGAAAATCCCTTCAGAAAACCCCTGTGCAAAAGCGGGGCTCTAGGACCCACCCAGACAGTGAGTTCTCCTCAGAAAGAGACCAGGACCTGCACACAGGAGTCCCGAGTCTTGGCTCTGTCACCGATTGATTCTGGAACCCTCAGCAGGTTGTGTCTGCAGGTGTGCTCTCGTCTGCCCATCTGCACAGCGAGGTGGGGGGGCCCGGCTGGGGGAGCCCCTCAGACCCAGGACACCTGTGCACTGAAGGGTGGCGGTGGATGGGAGCCTTGTAAGACCCAGACGAGAGCACAGTCAAGCAGCGAGACACGGAGGGAAGGCACCCTCCGCCAGGGCCCGGAGAAGTCTGACCCCCCACCCCTCACGTCGCCCCCCAGGCACCTTGCGGTGGGGGCTTGGGGAGCTTGGCTGGAAGTCCAGGGCCAGGTAATCGACGCTGCCGGTGCTCTTCTTGGGGGCTGGACTGCTGGTGCCACTGGGAATGGGCGACGCAGACACTGGGTTTTGCTGTATCACAAGGAGGAAAAAACTGTGAGTTTAGGGACTAGACCAACCCTCCACCCAGACACTTGGAGTCTGTGCCAGCACTTTTTATGTTCTCATTTAAACCCTTACAACAATCCTGTGCTGTAGGCATTGTTACCATTGTTATTTTTTAAAACAAAGATAAAACTGGTTCAGAGGCGTGAAGGGATTGCCCGGGGCTGTGTGGCTACTGAGCAGAGACAGGACCCAGGACTGCCCTCCCACTCCCAAACCGGTGCTGACCCCGCTGTACCACAGCCTGCCCTCCTGGGACATCAGGCGGAACCCCATCTACAGTCTCCCCAGGAGACCTGGCCTCTGCTCGCTGGCCCCCGAGAAGGGAGCATGTTTCTCTCATGCACTGGCTGTTGGAGTCTTCCTGTGCACTGAATCTGCTTCTCTGAAACTCCCTCCCACGGCCTAGAGTGGGGGAGTCACCCTGCAGCAGCCTGTTCCCTGCAGCCCCAGCTCTGCAGAGATCTGAGCAGAGTGGCCTCATGCCCAGGCTGCACACAGCCCGGCCCCCTTGGCAGCTCCGGACACGGCACGCACTTGACCCTGCCTCCACCCCAGTGCCCATGCGAACTCGCCCAGGACTTTCCTGCGCTCAGTCTGACAATAAAGGCAGCAGTGCTGTGCTGTGTTTGGCTGCTTTATTGGTTGGTTGGTTTGCCCTCTTGATGTGCAGTAACTACCATGTGCTGGGCAGCTGTTCCCTTTTCAATGAGGATCTCGGGGGCTAACCTGCCACGAGTGGCCTGTGTTTAAGGCCCCGCTGTGGCCTTCACCACAGCAGGTCATTGCGTTTGAGCTTCCCACCTGCGGAGGACTCAGTGAAGACACCCGCACACGTGCTTATAGTCACGGGCATGGAAGGGTAAGGAAATGGAGGGGAGATTTTTAACAGGATAGAGGAAGGGACTAACTCTGAAGGGTACACTTGTCACTAAGGACTATTCTGAGATACTGGTCTAATCGTCTGGCCTGCTAATAACTGTTTTGGAGCTCCCTCCCACCCACAGGAAAAGCCCAGACTTCCCAAGACAGCATGTGCGGCCCTTCACGATTTGGCCCCAGTCCTGTCTCCACCTGCCTGCCCCGCCTCTGGCCACAGTTAACCATGTTAACTGGGTCCCATCCCCACACACTTCTCCATGCCCCGTCCCCACACACACGGCCACCTCCACCTCAGTACCTCTGCTTTCCCCAGCCTGGTAGGCCACCTGTCCTGCAGGTGCATCCCCCCAGTGTCCTCTCAGGGGCACTGACCATGCCACCCCTGCAACAGTCACAAGAAAGGCAGGCCTTCTCTGCCTCTTATGACGGCGGCCTCTTTGAGGGTGGGGACCTTGTCTTCATTGCCTCTAATGGGAAGTGCTCACCACACATGTGACTCAAGGAGGACACAAGCAGCAAACAAAATAACAAACGACATCGGAACCCCTGGGCCGAGGAGAGTGAGCCACGCTGGGAAGTGGGGACATGAGTGTTTGATCCGGGGACTCAGATGGAAGTCGCGGCTGCAGGTCTGGGGCACTCACCATAGGGACGTAGTTCTCTTCACTGTCTCCTGAGTCCGTGCTGGTGATGCTCTGTGTGGAGATGGGGCGGCAGTACTGGGAAGAGCTGGGATTGAAGGTGTGGCTGTTGGGGAGGGGAGACAAAGACTAAGCCCTGGGGAAGCTTCCAGCCTCCCCTGGGGCCCCCAACCCGCACATACCCAGACTTCTGCCCTCAGAGCTCCACACTTTATCATCAGAGGAAGCTCTGATGCACTGCGGATACAATTTTTCCCACTTTCAGATGAGAAAGGCACCCCCCAAGGGATCTATGGACTGGTCAGCCCCTGACAACGTTATCACCTGGATGCAGCCTTCCTGACGCACAGCCTGGCCTCCAGTCCCTTCGCCAGCCCTAATGGCTCTGTTTGCAGCTCCCACTTCCAAAAAGACACTCACATGGCCCTAGACCAAGACTTGGTGACCGGGGATTTGAAGGGGAGCTCGTCAATGACGGTGTTGTTTCTCAGGTCGAGTGGTGTTGGCTTTGCTGGAACAGGAATGGAAAGTGGAGTTGCCAGCCATTAATGTCACACACACATACTTATAACACAGGTATATTTATAAATGCCTTCACATTCATCCGGTTTCACAGGGGGAAACTGAGTCTTAGCATGTTTACGTAACCTTTGCCCACACTGATAGGCCTTTAAGACATATCTTCAGATTTCAGATTACATATTCTTTGCATCGCCTACATGGTAATCGTATTTTCAGAGTCAAAGTGAGGACAGAGTCTGACAACAGAGTGTTCTCCTCAGGTTTGTGACTATATAGGAAAACAAGAGATGACATTTGAATTGGAAAATGCCACCATGGCTACTTTCTACTGCTCTTGGACCAGGGCTCTGGAACCCAAAGTGGAGGGAGGCAAAGGCCACAAGACTGTGTTGGCTTCCATCCAAATGCTAAGACTTGAATTCCCTGTTGGCCAAACCAGTTGGGCTTATCTCTGCCAAAGGTCACTCTACTTCTCCCTTTGAATCCCTGCCACTGGTCCAAGGCCAGTAGTGTGAGGTAGAGACAAGCCTAGACCTTGAACTTGAACTCCCTGGTCTAGATGCTGGGGACACAGATCTAACTTCATTGAACGTTTGCTGTGGACAGAGTCCATGTCCCAGATGCTTTCCTTCTAAACAAACCTGGGAGGCACGAATTACTGTTCCCATTTCACAGATACAAAAACGGAAGCTCCGAGAATTAAAATGATTTGCCCAAAGGCACACCTAGGAAATCCTAGATGAGGATTCCAACCCACACTGGCATGGTTTGAATGCTCAAGCCTTCCTATTACATCATAATGTATCTTTTAATAGACGACTGGGTCAGTTCACCCTACTCTACCCTAGATCTAATACTAACCCTTTCCCCTTGAATAGCACTTTATGTTTTGAAGTACTTCTAGACATATTATCTACGTCCCTCAATTCCTCTGGGAGGTATGTGCTACGTTTCCCATCTCACAAAAGAAGAACCAGGCTCAGAGGCACACGATGATCTGTCTGCACTCACAGGTTAGCAGGTGGCAGAGCGGAAGCCTGCATCTGTTCTGCCCTGACTCCTGCACTCATCTGCCCATCGGGCTCCTCCAGTGTCCAGTCCCTAAGGTGCTAGACCACTGGGGTGAATTCGGAGGGTTTATGTATGTGGGTGTGTGACTTCGGAGTGGTTTAGGCCCCAGAGGCTACCCCTTCCTTGCAAGTAAAGGTTAGCATCCATTTGATTGGTAAATGAATGCAAACAGTCTCTGGCCATTGTCTAGAGATGGGACGATGAAGGGGTGGACTTACCTTTCCGGTCTGGTTTGAGGTTGCGGTTGACAGGGGGCGGCTGGATCTCACTCCCTCGGCTGGGGCCTCGGTGCATAGGAAGGGCTATAGAGGGGTAGCCAAGCGGGTCGAAGTGGTGGGGCCCTGGGCTCATGGGGATGTAGACGCTCTGGGAATTATCACCTGCTCGCTCCAGCAGTGTGGAGGAACCTGGATTCATGGGCACGTAGTTGTCTTCAGAATTGCTGCTATCCGATCGGCCTACAAGTGTTTTCCCTGGCTAGGAAGGAGACAGAAAGAAATACAGCTGTCACTAGCAAGAAGAAAAGAGGGGCGTGGTGAGGATTTACATGCGAGGGAAGAAAAGTCCTGAGTGAGCTGCACTGTGAAGCTACACGGTAGACCCTGGGGATCCCAGTAAGGAAGCAGGGAGACAGGAAGAACGAGGTCTGTGGGTCCCTTCTAGCTTCCATGGCCCCTTGGGACTCAGAACTTTCAATAAATCTTTGGTATGAAATATCATTGGTGGCTGGGCCCATGAGGCTTTCCAGATGCCTAAGGCTGAGGGTAGCACAGGCCAGGGGCTGCAGAGGTTTGGTTTAGGATCCGCCCTCCACCTTCAGGTGTGGACTCACCACTGGGAGGTCAGCGTCTCAGGCCCTAAGCTGGGCAAGGAGCATATTAGAAGCCTTAGCCCTGGCTGGTGAGGCTGGGCCAGTTGTGCTTCCCCATCCAGCCTTTGGTGTGACCGCCAAACTGCAGTCAGAGCTGCCACAGAATGTGCTAAGCAGCAACCCTGAATATAGCCTTCCTTCAACTCTTGCCCTGTGTGTTCAGACCCATAACTAAGCTGCTTCTGGTTCCCTAACTTGCAGTCTTTTCCATGCACCTAAAGTCAGGTTGAGTCTGCTTAGCCGGGTCTGACACCTTGCAGAACTGTGGTCAGCCCTGTCTAGAAGGCAGCCTGGGACTGACCTTGCACTCACTCCAACCATGATTCTGCCACGAGCCTGACTCTGAGCCACCCCTGCCTGCAGCCTCCTGCCACACCACCTCCTCCAGGTGAGGCCTCAGGGGTTAGGATGCTGCCTTAGATCCACCACCCCAGAGCCTGAGTCCTCTGTCTTCGACCCCTCCTGCTCACCCCTGGACTGGCCAGCCTTGTAGTCTAGTGTACTGAAACATACACACTTCCTCCATAGCAGGATACCTGTATCTTACTTTCTAAAAACTCAACCCAGGGTGCTGGACTGAGACAAGAACTAGGCAGGGTCCTAAGAGGGAGATGTTGCCACTCTTTGGGTGACTTTGAACCCATCTGAGCTGGCCGAACCCCACTCACCAGGAAAGAACCGACGCCATCACTCATGGACTCCACAGAGCGGCCCGCACTCTCTCCGCCACGCTGAGGGTACTCGTAGGACTCGCAGGAAGAAGCTACGGCAGGAAGGAGGATCCGGATGCACTCATGGTTGACCTGTGTGCTGATACTCACCCAGACCCTCACCAGTGTTGCTCAGGGCCTTGTTCAAACTCCAGAAGATGCCACCCTCAACCCCCGGTGATAAGGTGTTACTTTTGTCCCATCACTTCTCGGTTCAGAAAGCCTCCAGCCCAGGCTTCCGGATCGAACTCCAGGGCTGGCCTCTACATCGAATCCCTCCTCGACCACTCCCGCCCTCGTCTGTGCGCTTCTCTGTCACCTACAGCACTTACCTCCTGTCCCACAAACCCCAGCCGTCACTGGCACAAACACCACAGTCAGGCTGATACGTGACCAGTTAACACATACTGACTTTACTTCCCCAACGATATGTGAGCTCTCTTTAGGGCAGGCCCATGTTTTTTTAATGTCTCTATCATCTCCATTATGGAACACAGGTGACTGATCAAATGGTTGATGGACCGAAAGGCTGCAAAGAGTACTGAGCCAGAAGTCAGGACTTTGGCCCCAAGGCCCATCTCTACCCCTCACTGACCTTGCAACCCTGAATAAGTGTCTGAACTACCACAGGCCTCAGGCAAAATGGATACAGTGGGGTGAGGGTTTGTCTTGTCAAGTTCTGAGGGTCACTACTCGGCTTAAACAGCACCACAGATAGAAGGAAGGCTTTGTAGGCTATAGTGCAAGTGCTAAGTGAAAGAAATTATGAGGAGGTGAGGGGACTAAGAAGTACAAATTGGCAGTTACAGAACAGCCGTGGGGATTTAAGGGACGACAAAGGAAATGGAGCAGCCAAAGAACTTGTGCTTATGACCCACGGACATGAACGATGGTGCGGGGACTGCCTGAGGGAGTGGGGGTGCTGGGTGGGGGGGAAAGGGGGAACAGTGGGGACAACTGTAATAGCATATTCAATAAAATATAACTTTAAAAGAGAGGAATTACTGTCATTGTGCTTTTTCATTAAAAAGAGGAGATTATATGCAGAGTTGGAATACTCTAGGTGGAAAACAAGTGACAACAGAAGTTAGATCCTTCAGCCTTTGAGCAGAGATTCAAGGGTGGCTTAGAAAATATTCTGAAGGTCTGATTTTGTTCTAATAGTCTGCTGGTCCACATAGGTTTGGCTTCAGTTTGGACTGGTTCTCTACATTGATTTTTGCAATCTCTGGTTTCATTTATAAATGAGTAAAATACTATGATTTAGACTTCCAAGCCCGGAATATGTTGTATTGTGGTTAACCACGAATGTTCTGCCGCTGTCAGTAGAATACCAGCTTCTCTGAGGCGGGGTCCGCTGCACTCTGGCCATTGTGTGTGTCCACAAACAGCTGCCAGTGCTGGGGGACCCGCCCGTCAGGGTCCGAGTACGAGGTGTCTTAAGTCCCATCAGTGACCGGGTGGTCCTTCGGTCTCTGGGGCACGAATAACCATGAAGTAGCAAGCTGCTGGGAACCCGAGTGCTACCTCCCCCTCCCCTGGGCCTCAGCGAGGGCTGCCACTGACCTCGGTGAAGTCGGCTGTTGTCCATGGCAGGGAGCGTGTTGCGCCTGGGGATGGTGGCCGCGGCAGAGACTGACCTGCTGCTCTCACCGACTGGAGGTCTCTGTTGAGGGCTGCCCCATCGAGGTGTTTCTGCCTGACTCGGCTTGGGGGGTCTGGGTGGGGGAGCTATGCCCGAGTCCCCAGGAGTGGCCACTGCCAGGGCATTGTGGTTCTTGTCCAGCGTGAATGTCCTAGGGATCTGGTAGGCTGAGAGTGGGGTGGACGGAACATCCATGTTGTCCACCAGGAGGTCCCCAAACTCCCGGCACAGGGTGTTGCTGGGCATCTTGAATGTGTACACTTCCTCATTATCTGTCTCAGAGCCCGTGAGGCTGCTCTTGGTGTGGCCATGGGAAGCCAGGCTCCGGGGAAGGTCATAGGTACTGTCTCTGAACTCTGTGTTGTGCCTGCTTGGCTTGGGGAGGCTATAGAAGCCATGGACTTGACCACTGACCCCATTGACACAATGTCCATTGCCCTGGGCAAGTCTCTGTACGGCTGTGTCACTCCTCATGAGGAACGAGGCCCTGGTGCCCTGAGAGAAGCTGGCACTCCTACAAGAGAGAAAGAGGGGGAGGGCGAGGGTTAGAGGAGGCCCGGACTGCCCACCCAGGGAGGGCAGCCGGCATGTTCAAAGCTGCATGCAGCCCCTTGGTGTGAGGAAAACACAGGCTGAGGAGCAGGCCTGAGGTTTATCTCAGTTTACCAGCTGTGTGACCTTGGGCAAGGCACTTTCTCTTTCTGAGCTTCAGTTGATACATCTGCAAAAACGATGATTAAAAACACACCGTGAAGGTTCAGAAATTGGACTCTGGTATACAGATGTTCGATCAATTTAGCCTTAACTCTGCTCCCTACCCCCAAATGGTTGTGATTAGCAGGAGCTGATCTTACCTGTGTTCCCCCCGCCACAGTTATCAACAAGCCAGTTCTACTGCTGACGTGCTCACTGTTTTAAGGCAGAATGTATATATTGAATACGAAGGCTGAGAGGTAGTAGCAAGAACCCTTAAGCCAGTGTCAGAAAACAGCAAACAAATCATTTTCTCCAAGTCTCACTGTCCCCATGTAAAATGAGTTAGCTTTCGGGGGTTCGAGTGTTGATGTTCTAAGTGACAAAAAACTATTGACACGTGAGCTACAGATTCCTTTTCTACCATGTATTATGGCTTGTTGAGAGGCATTTATAAGGAGAATTACCTCCTTCCAGAAGCTTAAATATCTACAGAAGGATAGTTTCCTGTATGGGAACTACATTCAGGATAGCAAAAGCTTTATAACTATCTTTTCCAAATTTAGGTGTTTGGAAAATAAGGCAAAGTGAACAGTTTAAGGACCTAGGAGTGGGGGGTAGGGGAGTGTTAGGTCCCGGTGCTGCCACTGGTGTGTCCTGTGAGCCCTGGTGCCCTCCCCGGGGGGACTGAGCGGGTCTCCTAGGCTCTGTGGGTCCACACGGCTCTGGAGCATCATGAGCCTTGGGCTTTACAGGTGTGGCTTTCACACTGGACACCGTGCAAGTAGGGATCCAGGTCTGGTTTTCTCTCTCTCACATAATTCATCACAGGATTTCACTTGGGGGAAAAATCATGACTTTAGAACAATCTTTTATACTCGGTCATCTGGGGGGCTTTCTAGGTCTATCCATATTGTTGCAAATGGTAAACTCCTAAGAATCTGATAAAAAGCCCTTGGAATTTCTCACCAGTATAAGACTGTGTGTGTGCATATGTATATATATGTAAATCTGCATGTTAAATCTAGGGGACGAGGGTGTCACAAACTCTGAGGCAACTTGGGCCTCAAACAAACTCTTTCAGCTCACGAGCAGCTTGTTGTATACGGATGTGACCACCAGAGGGTGGTAGAAAATAGGGCCCAGAGGCCTTGATGGAGGGAGGGAAACAGCTGTCCAGGTCAGGCTCTCTCTTCTGTCAATTTGCACCCATTCAGTCCCCCAAGCTTCACCGGCCTCCTCTCTAGGCCTCTGTGTTCTTTCTCCCTTTCTATTCCACTCCACACACATAACCAAGCCAACAGCCACAGGCCTAGTTCATCGAACACCTAGCCTTTAGTCAATGGAGTGCTTGGAGCAGAGGATGGGCGAGCCAATGATAGGCAGAAGGTCTTCATGCGGTTTGCATCTGTCTTTGGTGCCTTTCATTTTGTTTTAGAATTTCCAGCTCTCTGCTGGATGCCCCTGTCTGGATTAGTTCATTCAGCACACATGTACTGATGCTCTAGACTCCATCTGGTCAGGTACACTGGATACCGACAGAGGTGCCTCCTGCCCCAGTGGGGGGAAGGGCAGCAGTGGTGGAGGCCAGGACTTGCATGCAAATCATGACAGTCAAGTGGGTGAGTGAGCGCTGTGACAGATTTACACTAACTCCCCCTGGGGGTGGCAGTACAAAATGTGGAGGGATGCTTCTTCAAAGACATTGCTTTTGAGTGAGTCTGGCAACTGGCCAGGCAAAAGGCCAGAGAAGGGAAAGGTGTTCCGGTTAGAGGCACAAAGAAGTAGAACGTAACCTGGCAACTCCAGGAACTGCAAGCTGCATGGGCTGCAGCAAGTAGGGCTGAAAGAAGACAGTGGGGCCGGGGCCAGGCCAGGCCAGGGCTGATGGGAATATGGGGCCCCTGGAAGGGTTTTAAGGTGGAGGTGGGGCTGGGGTGGGGAGCGCATTACAGGTATTCTGCAGTAACCTTAAACATATTCCAGAACGAATTCATTGTTTTCCTCCTGACCCTCCTGTTTTGGAAATGGCACCAGACATTCAAGCCTGAGAGTTACCCACACTGTGAGTTTTCATTCAATAACCCCACAGGTCCCACTGAATCCACCACAATTCAGGTCCTCCTGATTCTTCCCATGACACAAGGGCTAGTGGAAAGTCTCCCTACCATCTGCCCAGGACCTCTCTGATGCTCATGACACCCCACTGACATTTACTTTCCTAACTCCCAAGTGTAGACGTTTTCACAACTGTCGCATTGCCTGTAGGACGAGGCCACATTCCAACTGCAACGCAGCTCTCCAATGTCCTCTCCCTAGGCCCCCTTCCCACTCCAGGGTCCACACACGCCAAACTGGCCAGTGTTCCCTGTAGGCCCCACGCAGTTGAGCCCCTGGGCTCAGTTGTGTTGTTTGCTCTGTCTGCAGAGTTCTTACTTCCATCTGGCAACCTCCTACTCCTTTATCCTTCAAACTCAGCTCAAATGGCACATCTGTGAAAGCTGTTTCTCACCATCCTCTACCTCCAAGTATAATCAGTTACTTTCTTAACTCTGTTCTTGGAGTGGGTAGCAATTGTAATCTGTGTCATGTACTATTGCTACTTGTCTTCTCCACAAAACTATGATTTCATACAGGAAAGAAACTCTCTTATGTGTTTTTCTTCCCTCAGCACCGGATTAGTACTTGTCACATAGTAAATAATGAATACATGTTTGTTGAATGAACAACAAATGAATGTATGAACAGACCAATGAACGAAGAGGAGTATTGGTGCTGCCATCCCCTTTCCTGAGCTTAGCCTAATAAACCCTTTGGGTCAGCAACTAACCCCTATCCCCTTTCAGAACCCACTAGCTATGTCCCAACTGCCTGCTGTCCAGGCATCCTCCTCTAACTCACGGAAGGACACAGTCATCTTTAAACAGGTCCCTGATGGTGGAAGCTCCAACCCCAGGCTTGTGTTATTCACCATTCTCTGGAATGCTTATTTGGCTCATCAAAACTTACATAAAATGAGTCCTGACTGGTGTGGCTCAGTGGATTGAGTGCCAGCCTGTGAACTAAAGGGTCGCTGGTTTGATTTCCAGTCAGGGCACATGCCTGGGTTGCGGGCCAGGTCCCCAGTGAGCAGCATGCGAGAGGCAACCACACACTGATGTTTCTTTCCCTCTCCCTCCCCCTCTCTAAAAACAAACAAATAAATAAAATCTTTAAAAAAATCAAAATGCAAAACAAGCCTTTTTGGTCCACAAAGGTGTTACAGTCCCTCTAATCCTCCTTTCCACTTCACCGTACCTTCCTCTACCCCCGCCACACTTCATGCTTCCATTGCTGCACTCACTTACTCTGCCTTGTGTGAAAGCGACTTGGGTCTGTGTCTTCCACTTCTACCAGACCCTGTGATCCTAGAAGACAGAGGACCTGTCCTGTGCCAGGTGTAGTGGCAGAACTGGGTTCTAGCACCCAGGTATCAAGATGCTCTGCTTAAAGCCTACCTTGATTTGGGCAAAAAATCAAGAGGCGAATTTTGAGCATTCAGAAATCCAGTGGCCTTTAAAACTTCCAGATGAACCTGTATTGAGGCCCATGTCACTGTGATGGGCTTCATTGCTTTCCTGGGAAAGATACCTGGAAGCAGAGGGTTTGGATACAGGCTTCTCTTCCAGGGCTGTGCACAGACAAGCCTCTTAAAGTGAGTGTGGCCCTGTGCCAGACACATCACGCAGGATGTAGCTTTTAAACCTAACGGTTCTGAGAGACACGCATTACCCTCACATTCTAGATGAGAGAATGGTAAGTGGTGGAGTTGTATAGGAAGATATTCCAACACATCTTCCTGTGTGTAGGGGCGCTCTCCAGGGGGCAGAGAGAAGTTTAAGAAGAGACACTCCTGGAAGCCAGCAGCTCAGTGCCTTTCCTTCCTGGTCCCGGCTGACAATGGCTCCCAGTGCTGTGGGTGGGGGGAGCGGGGAGGACTGCAGCACCTGTTGCACGTCTGGTCTTAATGGCAACCCAGAACCTCTACCTGGCTTTTAGGGATGGTTTCCTAGTTTTCCCAGACACTTTAGTTGGCACTTGGTTTTTGGTGCATTTACATACAATTGCATGTACCATACTACACCAGGCTTTTACTCTTTTCCAACTTCTAGACTATAAGTACTTTAACAATAAAAGGCCTGGTCTAATTTTTAATGGACATGTCCCTGTTTAAGACAATTTACTATTTAAACACTTGTAAGTAAATTAACCACCATTTATGGTTCTGTAGTTGCCACTGGCAAACTTTTTAAATTATATATTTTTTAAATTACAGCTGAGATTCAATATTATATCAATTTCAGGTATACAGCATAGTGGTTAGACATTTATATAACTTATGAAGTAATTCTCCAATAAGTCTAGCACCCACCCAGCACCATACATAGTTGTTACAGTATTATTGACTCTATTCCCTATGCTGTACTTTACATCCTTGTGACTATTTTGAAACTACCACTTTGTACTTCCTGACCCCTTCATCTTTTCCACCCAGCCATGTAACCCTCCTCCCTTCTGGCAGTCATCGGTTCTGCATGTCTATGAGTCTGTTTCTGTCTTGTGAGCTCATTTATTTGGTTTTTAAGTGGCACATATGAGAGGAATCATATGGTATTTGTCTTTATGTGTCTGATTTACTTCACTTAGCATAATACTCTCTAGGTCTATCCAGATTGTTGCAAATGATAAAATTTCATTCTTTTTACAGCTGAGTAATATTCCATTGTATATATGCACCACATCTCCTTTAGCCAACTGGCTGTCAATGGACACTTAGGCTGC